TCGCGGTAAAAAGTTTGATAAAATCCTGGAAGAAACGGCCCGATTGACCGGGGGGTGGGGGGGTCGGTGACGCAAGCAGAGTATATTGATTTACAGAATCCGATACACCGGTTAGAGAGGGGAGGGGGAGGGGGGTGTTACAGTTTTATAGGCTGTTTCCATGGAGCGGTAAAAAGACGAGAGAGGCCGGCAGGTGTTCCCTCCGACCCGTTCACCGAGATCCTGACCTGGCGCAACGTTTCGAGAGTTGAGCCCCGAAAACGTGGGCTGAGCCCCCCCCCCGTTTCCCCCAATGGAGCTTATTCGCGGGTAGTGCTGCATAAAGCTCTCGTAAAAGTTCCCCTCTCGAGGGCCGCTTTCGAGTCGCACCGTCAGAGGGTTGGTTTTTCTATTTTTTTTTTTTTCGAGCCGCCGGAAACTAAGGGCTCAACGAGCGGGTCTCACCCCGAGGGGAACAATTTTTTCCGAGACCGAAAAACGTTCAGAGATGCTAGGTTTTCTTTTTTAAAAATTATGGACGCACCGATAAGACGGGATTTCAATATAGAAGGAAGCTGAAGGGGGAGGCTTTGGGGGGCGTTAATTTACGGATTAAAAATTAATTTCATATCGAGGAGGTGGAGGGTTGGGTCTTCCGAGAGGGGCGAGGGATAAGGGTTTTATTACGCCACAAAGCGGCCGCACGATTCCCAGCCCCGATCGTAGGTCAGAGGTATAGCGTAGGTCGGGCGACCTACTGGCCCATTTTCCAACCCTTCCCCGAGCACCCTCGGCCTAACCTCCCCTTCGAGTTCAAAGGGGCCGGGAAGCCGTGCGTAAACGTTATCGCGCCTCCCCGACCTTTGCCCCCCTCCCCGAGGGGGACCACCTTGCGACCCTCCCTGCGCCCTTCGCGACCTTTATCCCAAGGGAGCTCGAGTGCTCTTCAGGGTCCTCCCTCTTGCGAACTGCAGGGCGAATCGGAAATTCGGGGAAGAGCGAATCGACCTCGATTAACGCTCCCTTTGGTATTTACCCACCTCCCTCTTCGAGCCCTTTTCAACCCCTCTTAAACCTCTCTCAAATCCTTCTTCAACGATTCTTTTGATCTCTGCCTCGGAAGAATCCGAAGACTTCCAACACGGGCATCGCCCGAAAGACGAACCGACGAAAACCTCGGCGCGTAATCGAGTGCCGTCTGATTTCCATTACCCGGAGTGAAGCCAACCCTGAGGAGCGACCTCGAGGAGACCACTCCCGGGATTAGCCCCAATGAAAACGGGATTTCGGAGCTCCTTATCCCCCTAAACCGTCGATAATCGCGATTCCTTTCCGGGCCGGGGCGAAACGCCGCCGGCGGACCTCGGCTCTGCCAATGGGAGCGCCAAGGCGCAGAATAAGACGCCGACGAGTTTTCCGAAGTCCGGCCAAAGTCTCGCCTCCGATCGATACTCGCGAACGAGCCGGTGATTGCCGAGATAATGGAAACTGTGACCTCCCTGGGCGCGACGATCGACGATCGGGTCCAAGTTTTCCTCTTCGAGGTCGGAATGGTGACCAATGACTCGAGAAACACCACCTGAAAAATAATCCACCGTCGTAATAAATAATGGGAATACTTGAAAGTGGGATGGCAAGATTATTTTTCGGATACGCTGTCGACGTAGAATATTCAATAGGGTCTACCTGAGATCGACTCACGATAAGAGAGTCCCTCTCTTCAAGACCCGACATCTCTTCCCAAGGACCCCGTGGCAATGGTCGCCTTCGGAAATGTGCCTTGATATTTTTGGCAGGTTACGCATCGGCATTACTAAGCGATCTAATTTCGTTTCCAGCGTTCCCGGTGTCGTGCGCGAGGTTTCATTCTTGACGAACGTGCTCGCGTGCACGTAACAAGGGAGGGCTTCTCGAGGAGGCGGAATTAAAATGGGGTGTTTCCCTTAAAAAAAAAAAAAAAAAATACGGATCGCTCGAGCACCAAACGACATTTTTTATCCCAGCTGTATCCGCGTTATCCGGAGGACCTGCCCCTCCGAAGAGCTCGTCGAAAACGTAAAATTATAAGGTGGCCTCGACGCGGAGTCTAGACGCAATTTTTCGCGCATTTCCTCGGCCCTCCTCCGGGACTCTTGGAAGTCCTCCAGGACGCTTTATCGACGCAAATGGATCTCCGTTTCCTTTCGGGCTTCCCGATATGCGAAGTTCCCGGGGATGCCACCCTTGAAGGGGAAAAAAGAATAGCGGCCACCGAAGAACTTTGGGAAAGCTAGGGAGACTCGTGAAGTCTTCGGGCGCGGCTCGTTATCCTGGGTATCCTGAAGAACACTCCGAAAAGACCCCTTGCCGATTGTCTTTGCCATTTTTTTCGGCACGTTTCGGAGACGTCCTGGACTCCTTTGAGGACCGCACTCTTTGAGCACCCCCCAAGAGGTGCACCCCCGGGAAAATGGTTGCACTCCTCCGGGACTCCGGCCGAGGCCGACAGATCGATACCCGCGCACCTCCGCGACCTCGAGGAGCCTCCGCGATTCCGGGTCAACCTGCACCCCGAGACGGGACCAGCCCGGGTATATCGACCCCTTCCTCCCCGCCGTGAAAAACGACGACTTCAAAATTAGGACCTTCCGATTTATTTCAATTTTTCGTCCATCGATATCGCAGGAAAAAAAATAAAACCCTCGGTCGGATAATTCTCCTCCCTCCAGGGGGCGCGTACAAACGTAAACCGGAAACGCTGCCGCCGGATCGATTTCCCGCGGAAGAGGAACGAAGTGCACCCCCCTCGAGTGGTGGGCTGCATCCCCCTGATCACCCTTCTCTAAGGGGTGCATAGAGGTACGAGCTGCACCAGACGGGAACGCACGCGGGTCGGGGGGTGCATCTCGAGGGGTGCGACTCGCACGTCGGGCATTCGGCGATCGATCGAATTTCTTTTGGCAGCCGAGGCGCATTCCCCTCCTCGGGTGCATAAAAAATGCAACGCCCCGCGCCCCCAGGGGAAGGGGCAATGGTTTTTCGAGGCCCTCGAGGGACGGCGTACCCCCCAGGACGTGAATGAAATTTGACACGAAGAGACTTCTTGGAGAAATTTTTGCGAGGCGTCTAATGGGACATTAAAAAAAAAAAAAATAGGGACGTCGCGTTCGAAGAAATTTCGAGGCAACCCTTGAGAGGGATGGGCGGAATTACTAGCCCTGGAAGGGGAACGGAACTATTTGAAATTCCTAGCCCGAAGCTCGAGGGATGGCGCGAGTCTCGAAGTTGGGCAACTTGGGGATTTAAGGAGTTAGCGGTTCCCGAGGGCGACGCCGGGCGTCGATGCTTCCGGGGTGGCTATTGATCCCGGCCGATAATTAGAGTCCTGCGAGAGGCGTCGAGTCGCGCCGCGACGCCCTCCTCGTCGGCCGGCCAGAAATCCCGAAGAGTCGGCTCCTTGTCCTTATCGCTGGTCAAGTTCAGGGACCCGCTACCAGGACGCCGGGATGCCTCCGACGTCAGCTCGGGGATACAATCGAGAGGCGGAAATCCGAACGAATCGCTCGTTCGTTGCGTTGTTTTTTTCCGGCCCTCCCCCACCCCTTCCCTCGGCTTTCTTCGTGGCTTTCCGGAGGATCGATTTCAGGACTTTGCCGGACTGACGTCTTTGACTCCGGGCAGGAAAGACGTTTCGGGGTTTGCTTTTCCGGTTTTTTCCGGGGACCCGAGCCCTCGGGCAAGGTGGCTCTCGATTCCCGACACGTGGAGGCGATATCGGCATCCCCGAGTCATTATCTGGAGCAACGGCGCCGCGTCCGCTGACGCTGGGCCGTATTGATCTGCCGGGTCGGCCGGCACCGCGCCGGGGAGAGAGAGAGCGAGAGAGACCGATACGCGGGCCCGGCAGAGAGACGGAGAGGGAGCGACCCTCTCCTGGGTGGGACCGCGACCGGAGGTCGCGCGTGAGGCGGAAGGTCGGTGGTTGGTCCAGTGGAGAACCTCCGATTCATCGAACTCTTCCTCTCAAACGGGTCTGACGTTAGAAATATTTTTTAAAAAGCGTGTAGTCCCCCCGGAAAATTATTTCTGCATAAAAAAATTCGCTGACCCACTTTCGAGTGCCCACTTGCCGGGAAATTTTCTTACGACCGTGAATTATTTTTCTACGCGTTCAACTTCTCGTCGGACATATTATTTCTGGAATTTTTTTTTATCCCATTTCCCCCGCCATTGCACTTCGGCCCTGGAAGCGGCGACTCTCTTCTAGGCCGCGGAGTAAACGAGCCTCGATATGTGGAGCGCGGTATCTGCCGATACACGTCGGAGTGCGGGGAAGCAGCCGGTTTGCCAAGCGAGACAAAACGCATTGCGTAATACCAACTATTCAGCTCGCCTGAACACCCACGATCCGCCATTGGCGTAATCGCCTTTTTTTTTGCGCGACTTTCGACAGAAAAAAAATGTCATCCCAAGGGAGGAAGAAGTCCCGTGCTCGGCAAGTCGCGGGTTTCCGCAGATCCCTTTTTCTATCGGCCCAGTGGCGGAAAGTTTGCATTATGAATTGGATGAATCGGGGAATCCACCCCTCGGGGAGGGAGAGAGGGAGTCTCGGGAGAAAATGGCCGCGCCCTGAGCAGTTGGGCGCACTGCGGCTGGAACGCAGGGTGGAGGACTGCGATCGGGTCTTCGAGGGGTGTCTTTGCTCCTGCAGCCTGCAACCCAAAGGACTCCTCTCAAGGACGCGGTCCTTCAAAGCTCGAGTCCTTTTGAACATCCGAGTCTCTTTCGAGACGACGTCGCGTCTTCGGCCTCCTCTTTAAGGATTTCCCTTGGAAATTCCTGCCTCATCTCACGCTCGTTTATATTTGGGAGGACGGTTAGACAACGTTCTACCAGAAAATGTCCGATACTTTTAAGTAGAAAAATAGGGGGTGGGCAAATATAAGGATCTAATTTAGTCGAAAGAATTTGTTCCTTCTCCTTTACTTTAATTGATCCCATTTTTAGACGCGAAATAATCGGACGACCCCGACTCGTTTCAGATTCCAGTCGCGGGAAGGATCGCCGAAGGACTCCCTGGAAGAGCGCGAAGACCGGGGAGAGGAAGCTCCCTCGGGAAGAGGACGAAGGAGGTCGAGACGGTCCGGTCGTGCCCCGTCGTAGCGCCAGCCCGAAAATTCTCTTCTCAAAGCCCAAGATGGACATCGAGGTGCAGGTGGCGCTGAACTTCGTGATATCCTACCTGTACAACAAGCTACCTCGGCGCCGGGTGAACATCTTCGGGGAGGAGCTGGAGAAGGCGCTGAAGGAGAAGTTCAAGGGCCACTGGTACCCGGAAAAGCCGTTCAAAGGATCGGCCTTCAGGTGCCTGAAGACCGGCGACCCGGTGGACCCGGTCCTGGAGAGGGCCGCGAAGGAGAGCGGGGTGCCCATTCAGGACATCCTGGAGAACCTGCCGGCCGAGCTGGCGGTCTGGGTCGACCCCGGCGAGGTCAGCTACAGGATCGGCGAGAAGAGCGCCGTGAAGATCCTCTACTCGGAGACGGCCGACCCTCACGACGAGACCTCGGCTGACCGCGAGGTGACCAAGACCTTCAACCCCGAGGCCCAGTGCTTCAGGCCCATCGAGGCCGTCGGCACGTCGCTCGGCGGGTTGAGCCTCAGCCCCAAGTCCACCTCGCCGTTCCCCTCCTCCATCGGCAGCAACGCCAGCAACGGCTCGTCCAACAACCAGCAGAGCGGCCACGGGTCCGGGTCCTCGTCGGCGCCCTCGCCGACGCCCATCGGTGGCTCTTTCAAGGGCTCCCCCAGCCCCGTGCCGGCCTTCATCCCCCGCACGACGGCGCCGCTCACCTTCACCACGGCCACCTTCGCCCAGACCAAGTTCGGCAGCACCAAGCTCAAGACCAGCAGCAAGAGGGCCAACAGGTACGCCGAAATCGGGTGGGACCTTTCTGACGGTGCCGGATGGAGGACCGAGCACCCCTCGTTTTGTTAACGTATAAAATCCTGTATTCGTTAGTAAAAAAAAAAAAAAGAAACCAAGGAAATTTTTGTTCTCGGGGGGGTATTCATTTTTAGTTGTGTCGAATCGACTCGAATTCAGGGTTTGGTCGATCCATCCGGCAGCGCTGCCGTTTCTCGCGCAGTGGGTGGAAGGAACGAACGTTTCGCTTTGCAGGATGTCGCCGACCGAGTTCTCCAACTACATAAAGCAGCGGGCGATGCAGCAGCAGATCCACCACCACCACCATCATCACCAGCAGCAACAGCAGCAGCAGCAGCAGGGGCTGCCGGTGTCGCAGAGCTCCCCCAGCAGCCGATCGCTGTCGCCGGGCCTGGTGGCCGGCGGGCAGCACACCGACCCGAGTGCGTACTTCTTCCAGCACGGGCCGTACCATCCGCAGTTCCCCCAACGCAACATCTTCGACTCCACGAGCCACGGGTACCTGCCCGACCTGTACGGGGCCAAGTTCCCATCGTCGTACCTGGACCCCGGCTCGCTGGGCCACCAGTTCTACGGAGGAGTGGGCACGTCCCAGGCCTCCGGGAACCTGGGGCCCGTGGGCTCCGGCAGCGCCTCCGCCCCCGGCCAGCAGGAAAAGACCCTCGTCGAGGGCCTGAACAACTTCGGGCTCGGCTCCGTCGCCCCGTACCCTGCCAGCCAGTACCAGCACCTCCTGGTGGCCAACTAATACCGAGACAGGGTGGGGCTGCGCCTGCGTGCACCGTGTCCATCCTCGGTGATGTGATCGAGCGAGGGAGAGGGCGAGGGCAGAGCACCGCGCAGAGATAGAGATCGAGACAGAGGACTTCCTCGTCCGCGTTGGTGATCCTACCGCAACGACGCAACCTCCACCGTCCTACACCCCAGAAAGTGGATCCGCGATCCCCGACCCACGCCGGTCCCGAGCTGGCCCGACCATCGGCTACCCATGGCCCATCGCCGGGCCAGCTCCGGGGCCAGGGGGAGGGAACCACCGGAAACTGGACACCGATACCGTGAAAGAGACAGAGACGGAGGGCGCGAGAGGAAGGGGCGGGTTTCCGCCGAAAGGAAAGCGGGCAAAAATCGGAGAGGGGAGAGGGAAGGGGTCTGGAGCTTTGGGAGATCCACCGAACATCCGATACGGACCTGAAATGCGAGCTTGGCCGGCGAGCGGACTCCGCGTCCCGGTCTCGGCGTCCTCGCCGAGGGCCCGCCAAGCTTCTCTGGGACAGTAAAAATATTACCACGTGTAATAATTTATTTTTTCACTGGAATAGTCGAAGAATAATATATCTGTAGAGAGCCTATGTATATTATATTCAGAATATGCACTTGGGGCCTCGCCCTGTCGCCGGCGCCCGGGGGTGCCCCGCGCTCCCTCGTCGGTGCTCGGCGAGCCCGTGTCCTCGGTACGATCTTACATTTTATTTTTATAACGAAGCAAGGTAGACGTAGAGGCGCGTCCGCGGGTCGCCGCGGCGCCGGCGTCGAACGTCCAGGCCGCGTCCCGGGACGCCGCTCATCCCCTTCGAGGGTTGACCGGACGCCGCCGCCCCCGGCGGCCTCTCGCGGAACCATTTAGGCGAATTAACGTTATTAAGGCCGCGACGCCCTCGCCGTCGCGGGGGTGCCGCCGCCTCCCCCCGTCCCGGGGGACCGGCCCGCCCCCCGACGCCGGCGTCGCGACGGAGGTGCCGCGAGCCGCGGGCCGGGCACTAGGTGCTAAAAGTATTAAACGTTATCCTGGCATCGCGATACTGATTGGGCGCCCCCCTACCCCGGGTCCCTCCTCTCGTGGGGACTTCCAGGACTCGCCCGAAATCTATCGCCCTTCTTGATTTTTTCTTTTTTATCAAATGGAAACATCTACTTTTTATATTACGAGATAGCGGGGGAGGTCGTTGGTAACGTAATCGGTGACTCCGGAAGAGTCCAGCGGGGGATTGCCCAGATTTTGTAGAGCTCGGTTTAAATATCCATATTTGATTCTCTCCGGGAAGCTCCCAGGAGAGGGAACCCTAGGAGGGGGGCACGGGTCGAAAAACAAGGTGGAAACACTTCGGAACTAAGGGTAGAAAGGCAAAGAGTCGAGAGGGTTTCGAGGGGACGGGGGAAGACGATCGAGAGAAAGAGGCAGTACCCTGTAATAATATCTAAACTTAATTATACTATTAAAGATACGTACGACTGTGGTAGCTATGCTAGTACCTGCTATTGTTAAAGAGAACGACGGAACGACGAGGAAACACAATGAAGGGCTCGACGAGAGGGGGGTGGGGGGTACCTTCGGAGAGGAGGGCGGGAAAAATAAATTCGTCGAGTCTTAGGAATTGGCGTGAAAGGTGTCATTGCAGCCGCGTTTGATCGAACCACCCCCTCCTAAGGGGGGGTTTCACCCAACCCCCTGGGGGTTGAAAGGGAGACGAGGGTCGGTGAAATTTAAGGACATTTTTTTTTGCCGCGAGCGCTCCGATCCCCCTTTCTCTTGAGGGGCGGGATCCTTTCTCCTGGATTTTCTTCCCCCTCAAGTTTAGGAGGGGATGGAGCGCCGCGCGATTACGATCGAAGTTTCGGAAGGGAAGATGCACACGGTGGCAACTAATTTTTGCAATAAGTCGCGAATCAAATGGAATCCCGGCTTGGGACGAGAGGCTAGCAGCTCTTTGTCGCAGCGAAGAAATCAAACCACGATGTATACTCTTTGAGAAGCTCGCGAAGGCTGGACGAGGAGGGGGGGCAGGAAAAAAAATTTCCTTTCGGCAAGGTGGAATTATGCAGGAAAAATCGCCAGGGGAGGGAGCGATCCCTCCGGGGCGGAGAATACAGAGGGGTGGAGGAACGCACGAGTAGGAGGAAGAGAGATACATTGAGAACACAAAACATATAGTATTATACATTTACAATACGATTATATATGAACACTTTATAAAGAATTACGCATAGTTTTCCATAACTACTGGATGTACTCGTTAGAGGGATTTAAGGAACACCGATTACACGTTTTAACGGTGTATACACGTACACACTGTTCGTACACCCGTGTGCACGGATGAGCATCCGACACGGCGACGAGACACGGGACGATCCGGATCACGGATGTTAACTATTAAACAGGAACAACGCAAATCGGTAATCTGTCTTTAAAGAATATCAAGTGTCTATTATAGCGATCGATATTGTCTACGTAACGATTTAATGAAAAAAAAAAAAGTAACATGGTACGTCGTGTAGCTCGTAGTCATATTGAATACCGCATACGCTATATTCTTATACTTAGACGTGCAGGGGCCGCTGGTAGACGAGGGGACAGGGGGTGGATTTCCGAAATCGGGAGCACGTGGCGAAAATCTATGGAAAACTCGAGGCAACTTTGTCCGATCGATCGTTTGAACGGATAGAGGTTTTACATTTTTTTTTCAAAATTGTTTAGCAAAAAATGACCGATCGAGAAGGTAGGATTTTTATTTTTTAATATTCTCGATGTAGCAAGAAGTAGAATCTGGATTTACAGGGACACTCGGTCGGAACGAAGTCTCGAAGAATTCCGATTAAAAGATGCTCCAGGATCGGCCAGGAAGTGGGGGATAATTAAAAGCTCGGTACACTCTCTGTCATGTAAATAGTTAAACGGAATACACGGAGACGAATGACGGACCGAGACGAGACGAGATTGGGACGCGTTTAAACAACGGTGTAACTTTTTCCACTTTTCCCTCACCGACGTGCAAGCTACACACGGACACGTACACACACACGCGCGCGTACGTGCGTACACGAGAACACACCCCTACGACCCAACCTATCGATTATTACCGAGTAATGAATTATAAACAAGAGGATGATAATTAGATTTGTAATTAATTATATATATTTTTCAATACTTTAACTACTCGCTGTATGTAAACTACGCTATACATATATATATATAATATATATAGGTGTATGACGTTGTATACGCGAATATTATGTATATCGGCAACGTATATATGTAATATTTGGTGTATACCGGGTACCATATAGCGCCGTACCTTCGATAGCGAGAAACAAGGAGAACGGGGGGAGAAAGAGAGGATCGCGATAAGGCGAAAAGGCGAGTCCTTACGGGGAGGACGAGGGAGACGCCGTTGCGATTCGTGTCGACGCGAGAGGAGAGAAAACCCCAAAACCTTTTTTTACACCCCAAAACGCCACATCTGTCCGACCTGCCCTACGTTCGGAGGATTTCCAAATTTCCCATTTTTTAGTCGGACTTTATAGAAACCGTTATTTTGACTTTAAAGGTACTCCTTCGCAATCGTGACGAGGGTTGCCTCGTGAGAGACGATTATGGCTAATTAACACCTCGGGTTGATTTCTAATTTTCTTTTTGCTTAAAATTTCCGTACCCCTCATTTCGGCCGGACAACGATCCGAGTTCGAATACCGCTTTCGCAAGTTTCTACCTCATAGTCTCGAGATTTTGTACGCGAAGGGATAAACCATGTCCGATTCGGGAAAAGTAACGAAAACTGGAGCAAAAATGTCGGGCGTCTCGTGGTTCGATACTTTCTACTTTGTACTCGTAGTATCGTTGTTTCCCTATCACCCACTCGACGTACTAGATATTCGCAAGGAAGTCGGAAAATAAAAGAAATTCTCTCGAGTCGCTAGAATGCCGGATCCTAGAATTTCTCAAAAAAGAAAAAAAAACCTCGACAATTCTTTCTAGACCGGGAAAATAAAAAAAATGACGAACGCCCTCGTCGCGACGTCAGGATTTTATTTTTTAATATTAGCGTCTACGCGACGACATAAAGTAGACGTTGAGGAAAGAAAAAGGGATACGCGAAAGACGAAGTAGGCTGCCCTGATTTTTTTTTCTTCCGCAAGTTCCCGGGGATTTTTTTTTTTATCGAACTTGAATTTCCCGCCACCTCTCCCAGGAGAGGGATTTTTTTCGTTTCCTCGTTTCTCCGGTCCACAGTCCCCGGAGGTACATCGTTGGCTTTCGATTTTGTTCCTTTATTTTTATACGACCCTTGAGAAAGGGAGGGAGGGAGGTGCGAGGAGGGGGTACAATTAAATACATATAAATATATATATATATACACACCGGAGGAAGAAAAAGATATGTACTGCTTCTACCAACTACTAGTATAGTTAGCGTTGTCGTTCTTACTTTAATACCTACGGAAGGAGTAATCTTAAGGCCCTTTTTCATAGTTTGTTATCGTTGTTTTGTATGATAATTGCATAGAGACTAGCGAGTGCGAGCGAAAGGGAAGGGGGGAGAGAGAGGGAGAGAGCGAAAGAGCGAGTGCCGGGAGTGCGAGTGCGAGAGAGAAAGGGAGAGTGTGCCGGATACTATATTTTTGTTAACCGATAATACAGTGATTTGATAACTTTGCACTAGCCGTTCTCGATTGGCTCTTTTCTTTCTCTTTCATACTGTTCATTTTACGTGTACACATATATACATATACATATACATATATATATATAAACGATTATAAATACTATACATATATATAACACGTGTGCGTGTACCGCTACCTTATGCATAGATGAAACACGTCTTTTTCGTTTGGAGCATGGTTTACCGAGTTGGATTCTATACATAAAAAAAATGATACATGTCGAGCGAGCGAAGAGACGGAGAAAGAGGGAGAGAGCGAGAAAACGCGCGAGGAGAAGAGGATTCGAGCGGAGGGGAAGGAAAAAAAAATGGGAAAAGAGAGGGCTCGATGAAGCAAGTATCGCTCGCGCGCGAGAGCGACAGAGGGAGAGAGGAAAAAGAAGGCGAGAAAAGGAAACCAAAAACAAAGCGTCTCTTGACATGAAATCGCGACTAACCGTTCTCGACTCGCGTGTAATATATAATTTTGTAAATTATTTTTTGTATTTTTATATTAAAGGAGAAAAACCATGTTGAGCGAGAAAGAGAGCGCGAACGACGAGAGCGAGCGAGAGGGGGAGAAGGCTGGGCACGGGAGTGTGAGAAAGAGCATACGAAACACGGATCTTTCGTCCCTACTTGTCGTTGAACTTGCGATGCCATGAATGCGAGAAAGAGGGGGAGTGGAAAGAAAGAGAGAGAGAGAGAGAGAGGGGGAGAGGAGAGCACTTGCTTGTGATACTAATAACGATACTTAAAAATCAGTCGGCGTTAGTTGTTTCATTAGTTAAGTCGGGAATACACGAGGATGGTACATATATATTATATATAATCTACATATATAATATATATACGCGAGCCAAAAATATTTTGCAGGCGTAGCCCTGTCGGCAGGATCGCAAATGGCACGTCTTTGCTGGGGATCTTTGAAAGAGCGAGAAAGGGTGAGGGGGCGAAATTCGAATTGCGAGAGTGAACGAGTGAGAGAAAGAGAAAGAAAGAAAGCGAGGGTGCGACCGAGGGGAGCGAATGAGAGAAAGCGGGAGGTTTCCTAGTTTCTCGGAAGCGAGCGCGACGAAAAGGACGAGACCTCTCTCGACGAGTCCTGGCCGTCCGGATCTCGAAGCCCGAGGTGATAACGTTATCGTGGAGATGCTTTTCCACGGTGACCTCGGATCGAGGGGGCCCGAGATCGTTGGGGGAGGTCATGGTCAGGGCGCCTGGAATTAGTACACATCATCTATATAGGAGGCGCCCGATTAGTTGTTGGAATTTTGTAGACCGTAAACGGATACTCGATAGTTCAATTTCGATAGTTCAATGTTGTAGTCTCTTCGGTTAGTCGAGCGAGAGAGGGAGAGGCGCGCGCGCAGGTCACGTGGTGGGCGACGGGGGCGACGGGGGCGCCGATTGGCCCGCGGTCACGTGACCGGGTAAGGGCGCGCCCACGTGGCCGCCGGGTAATAAAAGCGAGGGGTTCCGCGCTCGCATGGTCAGCCGGCTGAGCCGGCTCCGGTCTTTCGGCGACCGTCCGTCCCCACTCTCCGGGAGACCCCCGATGAACGACGGCCCACACGCCCCCTCTCCCTGTTTGGAGTGGACTCGTGGATGTTAGGACGATTCGTTAGAGTGTCTATTTGGAGCGTTGATATCGGTATTGTTTAATAGGCGGAATTTGCGAAGCTGCGAGAGCCGAGGGATACGCCTCGTCCTGTGACGTTCCCCTGTCGACCCCGGGGTGTGTGGGGGGGACCTACCTTATCCCGCGGGATACCCCTCCGCGGCGTCTCGGCGTTTCGATGGCCAGGGCCCCGGGGTCGCGGAAAAGAAGTTCGACGACGAAATTGCGAGTTCTTTCTGCGAACGCCCTCGACGAAGACCCGTGCAAAAAAAGAAACGGAAGAAAATTAGATCACGTTACGATCTAACGACGTGCGGGCGGTAGATACCCCTTTACTATCTATCTATCCATCTATCCGTCTATCTATATATGTGCATCTATATATAGATAGATAGATATATTTGCCATATTTAATATACATATTATATATATATATATACATATATACATCTATATATGTATATATCATACGGAGGGAGAGTGCGCGGGCGAACGAGAGAGCGAGTGAGACCGAGCGCCAGGTAGAGACTAGAGAGAGTGTCATAATATCATGAAATTATTATTCTTTGTTACTTCTTTATAATTAAACCAATAAAAAAGCTATTGAATAAAAAGGACTCGATACGTCGTTATTTTCGAGGCGGGCGCCTCTCCTCTTTTCCGTGACGCCGCTCGACCTCGATCGCGGAATCCGAAATCGCGGAATCCCTTCGGCCATTGCGAGGCCATACATTAAAATACATACATGTGTTTAAAGAGGCGGCCGACTCGTTCGCGATTTAGGAACCCGAAACTGCGGAGCAGGATGCGAGTCCATACATTAACCTCCGGTTTAAGGACCCCGCTCGTAAATTTGTAAATCGTCTTTACGATCGGTCCTTCCCTCGAGACGAGGAGGCTTTACGGCCGCTGTTAACTCGTAAACGGCCACCGGGAAGTCGGCCCTGCTCCCGAGTATTTATCCGCGACAAATACCCCTTTTCTCCTTATCGCGATTAGCGACCGCCAATTCCTCGTTCCCGAAAATTGCGGTGGACCGTAAAAGGACCCTTCGTTCCCCGTTTTCCTCCTTTCGAACGATACGCGGTCGGAAATTCCAAGGGAGACGATTTCCGAATCGGAATGCTCCGTGATCGCGGCGAGCCGACTCGGCGTAATGCGATTACACCGTAACGCGAGAACGCCGTTTCTACGGGGAAAAAATAAGCGGAAATTATTCCGCTTATTTTTGACGACGCGTGGTCGGAAGGAGATAGTTTAATCGAGTCAATTTTAAGTCATTTGTTTCCTGTTAAGAAAGTTCCTGTATACCTTGCACGATCGTGCCGTGCGTCCACGGTGCGTGGGTTCGATCCCAGGTGACCACAATTTTTTCTTCCTCGAGATAGTCACGGGAAATTGCATCCCGGATTTTCTACCGAGCTGTTGTCTAATTTTACGATTTTTCCCGGCGTTTGTGTATGTCCGCGTGTGTACGTATCCCGGGTGTACGTGTTCTTCGGCGCGAGGACCGATCGATCGATCGGAAATAAATACTTCCCGGTCGCGATCGTCGCGTTACAATGTTTAATACCCGCGAGAAGAGTTAATCGGCTGACGTGAATCGTTTCCACAATTCCGCGTTTCCGGGTTCCGCGGCGGAAATTCGCAGTGAAAGTGAAAGGCGCGTCGTTTTTATGTCTATGAACGCGACGAGGCGAAGAGGGGTGCGCGATACTTGCGACTTCGACTAGCAAAAAAATGGCGAAATGAGGAAAATGAGGAAAAGAAAGGTCGAAGAAGGAACGGAAGGGTCGATCTCCCCCAAACGGACAAAAAGTTTCGTACGTTTGGGTGAGATGCATTTTTCGTCCCCGTCGCAAGAAAAGCGAGAAGCTGGAAGTAAAATTTGGAAATTTCTCGATTCGCATTGATTTCGAGCACCATTAGGATCGATACGATCTAATTTGGTTTTCCAGGTGTCGAGTAGGATGAAAAGCTTCGATACGAGAAATTACGCGGTCGGGTAGGGCATTTTTTTTTCTCGAAATCTTTGACGAGGCCGAAGTCGGCGCTTTGAAGTCCGGCCTTTGGCCGCTTTTCAAGCCCCGCGACTTGTCCCAGTCGACGAGCGATTTCGGAGGGCAATTTCTGACCTTTCGCTCGGCTTCGGACGTCTTTGAAAGCCGCAAATTCGAGCTTCTCGCTTGATTTCCGTCGCGATTGAAACTCACTTTGATCTATAAAAGAGGTCTTTCGGGCGACGCGAGGCGGGCGGGGAGAGACCGACGAAATATCTTTATGCGCAATAATATCGCCGTAGACCACTTTCGGCGACCTTCGAGGCGAGAGTAACCTATTACCTTTACGGAGTTACCACCGTTAATTATCGATGTCGTGCCCTACTATGATCTCTCTTTATAATAGTCAGTGTATCGCCATCGGGTCCGTTAGACCCGCCTTTTTACCTAGAGCGTCAATGGATGGGCTCGAAAAGGGCGTCGCGCGACCGTTTTCGACGGCCGGGGGACGTCGCCTCGACCCTAGCTCTCGGATTGCCGTTAACCGCGCGAAGTGCACACCTTTATGTATCATTAACCGTAACGGCGTGCAATGGGTCGCAATTAAAATCCGGGGAATTGTAATCACCAAAGAGGCCATTTGCGTTAAATCGGAGCCGGGATAGCGAACGGGAGTTCGATCGATGACTTTTCGTTGTCGTTATCGATCTTTTGACCCTTCGTGCGTCTTCATATCAGGTCGCGGACGACTATCGAGACTACGGACGAGGACAGCGAGATTCGGCCTAATGTCCCCGCGACGTTGCGTACTTAACTTTTGCGCCGGCATTGCCATCAGGGCAAATTGTAATTAGTCAAATTACCCGGGGTTACATAAGTCTTGGCACGGTCCACGGTTAATTTTAAGCGAGCGTATCCGACGAAGCGAGGGGAACGTGTACTCGATGTAACCGCTCTCGAGATCCTAGCGTCGCCATCTTGTAGCCGTCTGAATAATCCCGCAAACCGTCGATCGATATTCCGCAGACGTTGCGCAGTGCATAGGGGTTTTTTGTAATTTTACAGTTTGATTCTAGTGACTTTTGTAACTCGGTGTACGTACACGTAGAATAACTAGGGTGTTACCTCGCAATATATGAACGATCGTCGAAAGGGCTCCGACTCGAGGAGTCGCGGTTGAGCACCGAGGAAGGTCGGCGTTACTCGATATCGATGTCGAGATCGAAGTACCCGTGGCGCTCGACCGAGTTCTAATTCTTCAGTCTTACGAGGAAAGCTTAGAGTCCCTCCGAGGGCTTCGAGACAGACCACGAAGTTAGAACTCTGTATTTTTGGAACTTAGAAGAGCGAGAAAAGCGGCCTACGAGAGCCTCCCGTCCGAGCTCAAGATTTTCACGTTTCTCGGAATTTCAAATCAGGAGACTTTAGAAAAGATTGAATTTTTCAAATTCTTTTTGACCCCTCTCGTTAAGGAATTGAACGTTCAATAAAAACAGACTAATAAATCCTCATTACGGTGGGATCATTCGAGTCGTTCGGGCAACCAAGATGGCGGCCGCGAAGAGCCGGAGACAGGAGGTTCTCGAGCGCCACTTTCACGAATAATCCTGCGAGCTGCAAAAGCGTCGCGTAATTCGTGATCACGTAAAATGACGTAATCGAGGCGCGAGTATACTTTGCTTGGGTGGAGATCCGCGAGAAAAGCGGAAATGAAAGGAAAAGAAACGAGATACTCGCGCGGACGCGCGGTCCGATATTTCTACGGAGGCACGCGCGCGACATTCGATTATTATTGAAGTATTAATATAATTAACACCTTGATTGTAAGTCGTAGGGCAAGGTCCGTTAAACAGTCAACTTTATATTTCTATAACTTAGCGCGAAAAAAAAAGAACGGGGAGGCTCTGGCCTCCCCTGAAGATGATATATTCGATGCGAGAACCTTCGAGAGAAAACGCGAGAAAACGGAAAAAATACACAAGAGAAAAGAAGTAACGATATAAAAATATATATATACATACAAAAAAAATATATATACGTGTATAATAGTCTATAATTTTTCATATTGTTGTACGAATTTTTAAGTTTATATTAAAAATGTTTTGTGCATTCATACGAAAAGGGAAAAGATGAAATTTAAGAGCACCTCGTGGGTTTGTTTCTTGAGCCCTTCTCCCACTCGCGACTCGTGGAATCCCTTTTGCGAGTCGAGTAAACGGAATCATTAAAAAGACCCCCTTATTAAACGGACAATTCGGCCAGGGGGAGGTTGACGACCGAAGAGGTCCAGTATTTATACAAAGCCGGCTGAATCACTTTATTTCAATCCTCTGAGTATCCAAAAGTGAAACAAGAGCGTCGACTCCGCAAGGTCCGGTACTTGGACAAATATTGACGAGACCTCCGAAACCCCGCGAATCTTAAATGCGCCCAAGTGTCCGCTTATCGCTCGCAAATCTTGGCGTCAAGGAATTCCAGAGACGCGTTTATCGGCCGCCCATTATACAGGTATCACCGACGAGTCGACGGCAACCGGGAACGTAAGTAACCTAGCGAACAAGTCGGAAGACCCTCCCCCGCGTTCCGGCTCGACTTCGTACATGATTTGCGAAAAGATACCGTGCACGAATATTTATAAAACATTTACAAAATTGATCGCGAGTCTAGAACGAGATGAAAGGTGCGCGACCGGCAAAACCTACGTGCATAGGTTGGACATCTTGAAATGACATTATCGAGTACCCCTCGTAGGTATAGAGTTAAGAAAACTGCTAGGGTGGACTATACCTCGTCGGACGTAACGTCCACGGGCTGCCCGGGGCAGCAGCGAGGGACCCAGGGAAGCGTTGTACCGGTTCGTCCTCGCGACGAAGATCCCTGATCCTCCTCTGGATCCTTGGGCAGGTTTATTTACAAAATTCGAACTCCTCGGTGGTCGGGTCCGATACCGCGGGGCTGGACAAAACGGTGGAGCATTCTTCGGGGTCCTCCAGCGTCCGCTTCGGGGCGAGGTTCCTGGTCAAGGAGTACGCGCCTCGAGGCCGACGTCGTTACTCGAGTTAAAGTCGAATAAGGAAACGACCATCCTAGTCATCGCGGAGTTTATTTGACCCGCCGGCCTCTGCGTCTTAATTCTACCTCAAGATACGCTCTTCATCCCTGGTACATGACCGGCTAACGAAGAACGATCCGCGCCGCAACGGGGCACTTGGAAGAACCCCGGTAGAAAAACCAAGGACCGAAGACCTATGTAACGTATACGAACATATAATATATAACTCGGTTCTAAATCCATGCGGAACCTATGCAATCTTAACGGATAGGCTCTCATCTCGACCTCCTAAAAAACCTCGTCAGCGGACGCCGATGATCCTCCACTCGGTTTCGCGGAAGCACGGAGAGACGATCTCTACCTTCATCGTGGTATCCTTGGTACTTGTCCCCGATACTCCAGCCTTAAGCCGACAAATCATGGTACTTGAAGTAGTGAATCTTGAGAGCCTTGGTGTTGGGGTATCGGACCTTGCATACGGGACAGGATCTCGAGTCGATGGCGTCCTTGATGACGTATGCGGTGATGTTGGTGCACCTGTACGGCGCTGGACTGTTCGGATCGGGTTGGTAGATCGAGTGGTGCACCTTGAAGATGTGCTCCATGACCATATCCCTGGTGAAGAAGTGGCGGTCGCAGAAAGCACAGCAGTACATGATGACTCCACCATCGGGGGTAGGCAGGCTGGATTTCGAAGTCTTGGCGTTGCTCTTCGCAGGACTGGATTTAGGCTTGGACTGAGACTGCGATGCGTTAGCGGCCATGGCCGCTGGCTTGTGCTTGATGGAGAAATGCTGACGCACGTTGGAAATCCCGGGGAAGGTCTTGCCGCAGACGTTGCAGGAGAAGGAACCGTCGAGGTTCGTCACGGGCATGCACTCCTCGATGACCTGGACCGATGGCAGGCTTCTGCTACGAGTTCCGCGGTGCTCGTCCTTTTGATGTTTCTGCAGGATTATTCCACTCGAGTAGTTCTTTTTGCAGATCTTGCAGGAATACCTCTGGGCCGCCGGAACGGGCAGAATGGACGCGAGGTCCACCTTTATCTTCTTGTTCTTCGGGTTGAACGAGGTGGACTCTTGACTGACGGAACGCTTCCTGGATGGCGACGAGGGGGACGGCTGTTTCGGGGAGTAGGATCGATGGATGGTCTTGTGCCTCTGAAGGGCGGCCTTGGTTGCCAGCACCCTGGGACAGTCCTGGCAAGGAAACTGTGGACTCGGAGGCTTCTTCGCCAGAGCCTGGAATTTCCTCGTGGTCCCTGGGACTTTGAAGACGGCCTTGTGCAGCTTTCGATGGCGCAGCAGGGTTTTGCGGGTGCTGTAGTTCTTCCCGCAGGTCTCGCACTTGTGTTGGGCCTTGGTTTCCGAGCTCAGGATCGGGTGCTGGTTGTGCCATTGTACGTGTTGCTCCAGGCTCTCCTTGTCGGGGAACATGTTGGTGCACAGGTTGCATTGGAGCTCCTGGGTCGGGAACTCCTTTTCTTGCTTGTTACGGGCACAGTGCACGTCCCAGAGGTGCTTTCGCAACACCAGGACGTCGCCGAATCTTTCGTCGCATACCTGGCACTGCAGATTTAGAGCGGTCGACGGTTTTTGGGGCGGAGGGTTCGGGAAGGATTTCCTAGCTCTGGCTGGCCTGGCATTGGCCGTCTTCCTCGAAGGCGACACCTGAAACGTTGATTATCGAATTAAAGTCTACCGTTTGTCGAGTTCCTAAACATGGGCGTACCTTCTCAAGGCTGGTTATCGTAGCCGGAGCCGACTTGTTGAGAGGAGTGAAACTTATGGAAGGACCGACACTGATACGAGAATTTGCTCGGTAATGCCAACCCCTGTGGGTCTTCAACGACTGTTCCTCCACGAAAATTCTGTCGCAGATGTCGCACTTAAAACTACCCTCGTTCAAGTTCTCGTGAACGTTTCTTATATGTAGATTTAAGTTCGCCTGGAAGTAATCGAAAGAGTCGGTCAAAAGAATAATCGATAGGAGTTTTAATTTCCTGATCGACAATGGCGAGTCGTACCTGGAAGGCAAACTTCTTGTTGCACCGGTGACACTGCAGCGAACCTTTCAGTACTTTGTGCTCTGCCTTGACGTGCTTGTCGAGCATGATTTGCCTCTTGAAGCTTCTCGGACACTCCGAGCAATACACGCGCTCGCGGTCTCCGTGAATGTTCTTACTGTGCCGCTTCATGTTTGTATAATTAGAGAAGACCTTGCCGCAATATTCACACTCGGCGTTCTGTATCTCGGTCTTAGACACTGGCTTCATGTTTTCCACCCGTGGCTTCGCGTCCTCCGTCCTGTCGTACTCGATGCAAGAGCTGTTGGCGTTCCTCTCGTTGGGATCCTCTATACCGTGGTCCTTCATGTGTATCTCCAAGGCACCTGCGCTGCTAAACATGCTACGACAGATCACGCAGGAGTAGATCTTGACCTTCAGGTGCAAATTCCTGTGCTCTCCCAATTCCGCCCTTGTGAAGAACTCCTGACCGCAGAGGGCACAGTTGTACCTCTGCGAGGTGCTCCTGGATTTATTCGATTGGACCTCGTGGAAGGTCTCCCAGTTTTTGGAAGAGCTTTGCAGTCCGCTGGATTTGTTCCTGGTCGACTCGTTCCTCGCGGAGTCTTCGTCGTCGGTGTCAATGTTTTCTACGGTGCTACGGTGTTTCTCGTGATGCATCAAGAAATCGCTGGGAGAACGGAACTTAGCGCTGCACCAAGAACAATGCAGGTCACGAGTGTTGTGCTCCGATGTAGTGTGCGAGTAGAATTTCTTGAATACGAGGAAGGTCATTCCGCAGAAGGAACACTTGTAGGATGTCCTGGCATCGGGTGGCAGCCCCTTACATAATTCTCTGTGCTTCAGCATGTTTGGCTTATGTCGATATATCATTCCACACAAGTTGCACATGTGATTGAATGCAGGATTGCCATTCTTGTAAGGCCCCGCAACGTTGGAATCGTTTCTTGACGGCATCGGCACCATTGGAGTTAACTTGGGTGGATCCTTCATCGGAGTTGTCAACTGCTCGTACTGTTTGTCGGAATGCTTTGACAAGTGACTGAGCAATTCCTTTCTATTTAACATCGGCCGAAGACACATGTTACAAACAAAGTACTTTTCGCTACCTTGTCTAGGAACTACCAATGCGATCTTCATCGCACATTCGAAGGAAGATCCGCAGTGAAACTGGTACATCGAACTATCTTGGAACTCTGTAAGGCAGGCGATACACGTGTACGGTCGCAAGTCAGGCATGTGTTGGCGAATGTGGTTGAGGGTACTTCGCCTGTCAGGGAAGTCGCATTGACAGGAGTAACAGGAGAAGGTTTTCAGTTGACTGATGATGTCAACTTGAACTTTTGTCAGAGGAGAGTCTTTTTCCATGCTGACTAACTCGTCCTCCACATCTTCGATCATTTCTTCTTCGTCATCCAAACTTCTGTCGCCGTTCATTACCATATCACGATTGTTTCTCTTCTGATCCATAATTGGAGTGCTGGTGTGCTGTGGTCTCTTCAGCCCGTCCAACTTAGTCTTCTGACCTTTTGATTTCGAAGCTTTAGAAGGACTTGGCATAGCCGGTAAACGAAGGGGATTGGTGGTACCATGGAATTCGGTCATATGCCTCATATAAGTACCCTTCGAACGTAACGTAATTTGACACTGATAGCACTTTCGTTTAAACGGAGGTCCTCTGTAATGCGTATGAGGTCCACGTCGAGCTTTCTTCTTCGCCGGTGCTTTTGGACCACTGGACCTTTCAGTCGAATCTGCCTCCATAACTAGCTCTTTTCTATTCACAACCATAGCCAATGGATTAAGCAACAGTTCGCTACCCGTTACAGACTCAATTTCTATATTACAATCGGTGTCATAATCTTGTACTTGTTCATCTTTGATTACAATGGGGGAAATTTGTTGTTCGACTCGTGGCTCCTTGGGCAACGACGGAGGAGAAGCTGTACAATCGTTACCACCAATGTCTATTTCTATTTCTTCGTCATCGTCATCATCTATAAACTCTTCCACCGAGTCGTCGTGTCTAAGTATCTCAATTGCGTCCACATCTCCTTCGAGATCGACTTCCTCCTGAAGGAAAAAAGAGAAACCATTAAATAATGATAGAACTAAAGCAATAATAATCTCCAACATTTAAATAAAACGTACTCTCTCAAAGTCACCATTATGAGATTCTGAAATGATTTCAATGGCATCCTCGTAAAACTCCACATCCATCGGTTCTTGTTTTATAGTTATAACCTGTTAAAATGCAAATTATATAGATACCGAATTTAAACGAGCACCAGAAGTAGACAATTCAAACTTACCGATGGTGATCTGTACATCTGGGTTTCCAACCACTGTTGGAGCTTGTCTTGCGAGCGAAGACATGACTCCTTGTAATTGTGCCAATGATTGACATTCTTGACACACTGGGCACATATTAGCGTCGATAATTTATCATTTGACAATACCTGCAATGGCATTAAATTATCCCATTATTCCTCAGTTTTACAGTACACAAAATGAACAAACATGACGAAACTTCATAGTTATGACCATTCCCATAACTCGTAGCTTCACATCTTGATCGAGAAGACGCTACAAATCGCATGCACAAAATCAGCTTCACTGAGCAAGATGCAGTACATAGGAAACGAACAATAATTAGTGCTTTTTAAATTGCATAATCATAACCGATCTCTCTGGTAGAATTGTCCAAGCAAAATGGTTACGACCATACCCTCTGTTCAAGTGAGATTAATCTACGACAAAATGTCTTAATATGTATGATTTCAGAGTCCCTCCATGCACTTAGTGGCAAGCCTGAAGGGATTCCAGTGCCACTGAAGGTGACCGACAGCGATAAAACCGTTAAAAGTGACAACATAACCTGCAAAAGCGCGATCTAACCTCTATCGACAGACACGCCTTGATTTTGGACGCAAGCGGCACCGAGGAGTCGTGAACGCTGAATATCGAGACTTTTGGTCCTTCCGTAGAGAGACAGAGCCGGCAAACGTTGTCCACGTCCGCCAATACTTCGACCTCGTCCATCCTGGTGACACGTCCTTCGCACTGGGCCTTGCTACCGATATCTCTTCGGTCGATCCTTCGGTCTCAACGAGAGATCAGGAACGCGACGTTTTGTTTGGTAGCCGACATTTAAACTCGAGGGGCGGGCAGCTCCTTTATCAGCACGCTCGGCTTGTTCGTTGCAGGAAGATCGCGGGCAATCGGCGGGACTCCATAGATCCGACATGTGTACACTGCGCCTGCGCAAACATGGCGGCGACGGAAAGGCGCGCCGCATCCTGCACGGATATCCCGGTGATTATTACCCGACGCGACTTTTTACACACTGTGTACTGTTCACATTGGTAAAAAAAAAGGCAAAGTAACAACTACGGTCTTTTTAGGAAGCTGAAAGGTATTTAACAAAAAGGTTTAGGTAACGTCCAGATTTTTTCATCATGGCGACTCGAAACTTGGCTCCAGAGATGAGTTAGGAGATCGCTCACGGGTAGGGTCGCGCGATCGCTTCCTGTGCTGCCCTCCGGTGGAGGATGCGGACGACTAACGCAATTGCCACCTGTTACCCCTCAGGGCCGAAACAATTCATTTTTGGTAGGTGCTCGCGCACTCGCGATGGCGGTGCCATCGAACAATCGCCGCTGGGGGCTCACGCACTCGTGACGGTAATACCATATGGCTTACCTACGCTTACCGACGCCAAGTCGAATTCGATGGTAAGAGAACATTCGTGACGATCTCTTTGACTTTACCCTCCTCTTACATTAATTTTTTCCGCAAATGATACAAGCAAAATTACAACGTGTGTGCTCAAGAGTATGAGTTACACTATATATACAATTTTTATAAGGTAACTGATACTAATAAAAAAAATTATGAATGTTCCCTATGACAAAAATCGCAGCCCCGCTTTCGATAGATCGCTTTTGGCGACGCGCGCTCGGCCTTATATAGGGGTTACCCAGTCATGCACATGCGCAGTTCCTTGTTACACCCTTATATGTTCCAATTTTTGAGTTTCTTCTTAAAAATAAAATTTAATGAGTGCCAGGTCTCCCTTAGGGCCTCGTTGTTCCGCGGCAGAAAATTAAAAGAACCGATCCGAATGTTAGAGTTTGCCGAAAGACCTCAGTGAATCGAACGCCTCGTGTTGAAGTAAAGATTTTATTGAAATATAAGGAATCTGTACCAGACAGAACTAAAATTACTGTTGGATTTGGTACTACTGGGGTTCACGTATCGTACATGCCTGCGTAGCCATACTGCGTGTATTATTCTGCCGTTAATCGTCTAAATTGAGTGTCTCTAAGTACAAGAAACGTTATCGAAGGGGTACGCGCACAGTCTATATCGTAAAGTTCTAAACCTAAAAAGGATCCTCCTCTCTCTCGCACTTCTCATCCAGTCGCAGTAATTAACATGTACACAACTAGGTCAACTTAATCCCTTCTGTATTTACAAGTGATAACTCGATGACCCTACAGCTACGCCCATTTCTTTATTCTCCGCTCCTCGTCCAACGTCCGACCCATATATAACAGGAGCCTCCGCTAATGTATTTACAATTTTTACAACGTCCCTTACTGTACAGCGCATTACATAATTACATTATAGAGCGGAAACATGTACATATACGGCACACGAGTCTCCATTACGTTAGGGTGTGGTACCTCGGTATAATAAAACTCGAAAACGGTCGCCGAGACGTCGAATCTAATTCATACGCAAACTAATTACATCGCGATGAACCTAATCGGTGTCTCGTTGCGAGTGAAATTTTACGTGCAAATTCTGGGAGAAGCCTCGAGCATGAAAATAAGGAAAACCCCGTCCTCGCGAGCAAATTGATCGTTGCACCGTTCGTCTCCTAGCGAAGGTATCGTTATCTTGGTGCTGACATCGGGGTTACACATGAATCTTTTACCTACTAAAAACAACAATGTTTCGTAACAACACAAAACAATAGGTACTTACAAATTATAGGTACTTCTCCACTTAACTCCGTAACCAACGAGTACTGCGTGTGATTCGAAAGAGGAATCCAAGCGAGATATTTCTTTCACGGTCACGCAAAAGGAGTAACCGATAGCCTCAAGACTAATTGTCCCAGCTCGCGAAAATCAACGTACGGAATTTCGCGAACACCGATCGCGAACATTCGTTCTCTCAAACGAACCTAACGTGCTCCTCGGAGCCATTCAAATGTAGTTTCGGTACATTTTTTGTACAGCGAAGTATCTCATACGGGATTCCGCGGCAAACGATTCGATCGCGCAATTTTGTAAAATAAAAAAATTCTCACGGGAAATTAACGGTGATGTTACAGTTGAGCTTTGTAGAAAATAATGGATTTTAACCTATTTCGGGCTGTCGGCAGGTGCACCGACGGCGGGGAAGGATTTTCGAGGACCTCGAATTCGTCTCCCTGCAGAGTTCAGTGATGTCTACGGACCGTAGTCAGTCGAGGACGACGCCGAGGGAAGAACTAAGGGAATCTGAATTCGTCCGAGACTTCGTCAGTCGTGCTGGAATTCATCCGAAATACGCGATTTTGGATATCATCGCGAGAAGCGACCGTTTACATTAGTCGCCCTCGGGGTGGCACAACGCGCGGGCGATCGAAATATCGTCACGATGGAACGAAGTAAACGCTTACTTCCCACATTTCACGGCGTTTTCCCCAGCACTGTTTTCCGTCAGTCCGTCGTTTTACGTCGAGACGTCCGATCGCGCCCAGTCTAACAAGGCTACGCCCTAATGGTGTAAAAGTCTAAAAATTACCGTATCAATTATAATAAATAAGCAACACGCATGGTCAGCTCTCTATAATAGTGTATGTATATTATGTACCTATATCACGGATTTACTGGTTCAGAATGTGCACAAGCGATGCACCGAGTATGTACGCGAGTCCTAGAAACGATAACGCACAGCCGAACGCCCACCATCTTTCTTTACTAGCGAAACCGGAGGACAATCCAAATTCTCAACGTAACATTTAAAAAAAAACGTTACATGATAAATCCTTTTACGTAAATCGACTCGATTTACTCGTCAGCACTAATTGATCAATAATTTCAAGGTTTTCCGGGAATGTCCAGCAAGAGCGACCCAGTCTTGAAAATGTAGATATTCCAGAGTCAAGGCAAAAAAACAGTATTCCAATCCTGCTAGCAGATGGTGAGATTCGCCCGCCCTAGTCGGTTCTAGATCGGAAAACGTGACTTTGGTTGTTTCGTGAGAAATTTTGATTTCCTCCGTGCGGAGCGATCGTTGAAATAAGAGAGAAAGAGAGAGAGAGAGAGGTGGGGGGAGGAGGAGACAGAGAGAGAGAGAGAGAGAGAGTCATCCGCGAAGACGTAGAATGATCGACCAACGACGACCACGTGCGCCTTCCGCCAGGAAGGTGATTCGCGTCATGCAGCTTCCTAGAAGCTTAGTCTAAAATCGGGCGTCATAAATGGGATCGTTGGAATTAAAAGTGCACTGGCGTAAGACCTGCGCCAGAAGCGCCTTCCTCGAACCCTCGAAACGTCGACGGTCGACGTATTTAAGGTGAAAAGGCTCGACTCCGCCCTGATCGTCCTCGTCGAGGTAGGCCCCGTCGACGTGGACCTCGTCGGCCGCTTCTCTCGTAAAACCGCGCTAGGAACCAATTAAAAAAATACCGGCATCGAAACCGCGTCCAATTCGGACCCCCAGGAGTCGAAAATACCTCGAGGTCCGAATTTCTTGCCTTCTTTTCCAGAGTTCCTCCCGGCGGCCGTTGCAGACCTCTCATCGAGTCGGCAGCCACATCGTGGACAACGCCAGCCACCACTGTCCGTAGCTGGTCGCGCGAGTTCCCCCGCAACTCGGTGGAGTACCTCGTATGGGTATCCAATATTTGGGCAGGGCGTCCAGGGCGGGGCACTGCGACAGTTCCCTGATGCGGTGCACATATTCGCCCCTACGTGCGCCCAAGGTACGGAGGCCAGTAGATGGGCACAACGGTGAGCGTCCTCGCCGATCGATGAACCCCAGGTCCTCCGGATCTTGAACTCGAATTTTTGGTAACGTGTAGGCCTCCGCGCTACGGCGCCGTCGAAAGCAGGGTGCACCAAGGGCGACAATTCCCAGGATCCATCCCTCACCCTGGTGGTCGGTTTCCCGGCAGAAACGCGAAGGCCATGGTGGACCTGGATTTTTGGTAACGTACTAGGCCTTGCCTATCCTCCCCTGGCACCCTCTCTCTCCGAACTTAACGCGTGGTTCGAGTGTGAAAATAATTTATATGTACAAGGTATTCGACAGGAGTGGCGCATCGTCCCGATCGAGAATCGAGTCCGAGGCCAGGCTTCAATAGATATCGCTCTTGGGATCCCTCTCCCGGAAGAATCCCTTCTCAGTCTTGCACTCCCTGATGGTAACGGTCTTCAGATTGACGGTGACGTCGGTGATGAAGACCTGGTCAGCGACTGGATTCCTCGCGTGCCAATAGTCGGTCCCCGGGCTGCTCAGCGGGACGTAAGTCTTCGCCTTCGCGAGCTCCGTCTGCTCCGGGTTCGCCGGCCCGTTATTATTATTGTTGTTGTTGTTGTTGTTATTGTTGTTGTTGTTAACGTTGTGGTGGCCATTGACGATGGTGGCTAACCTGTTGTTGTTCGTGTAGGAGTCCGTGGGGCTGGGAGACTCGTGGCCGTTCGAGTCGGTCGTGACGCTGCCGTTCGTCGCCTTCTCCGGCTTGTGCTCGGACAAGTGCCTCTTCTTCGTCGGCTGCTCCAGAGGCGTGTCGATGCGAGGAGACAGCGGGGCCGGGGGTGCCCTCGGCAGCGAGGGTGGAGGGCCGTGAGGAACGTCGGCTTCCGGTCTCTTCTTGTCCTGGACCGCGGGGGCCAGCGTGGTCGGCACCGCCGGCAGCGGCTCTTCCGGCGTCGACTTGACGCTCGATGACGAAGGTCTCCTTCCGTTTACCTTGTGACTCTGCAAAGTAAGGACGCCTCGTTAAAACTAACCGCTTACTTGGCTCGATCGATCGCCAATTCCGTATCGATCTCAAGGTAAATCGGGATAAAATAATTATATCCAGTTTCGTCTTTCGAAGGCCACCGCGCCATTCACGCGGACCGACGAACTGCACCCATATTGGAACGCGCAGGGCATGCTCCAACGTTTTGAAAACCGCGACGAGAAAAAGACAGTTCCAAAAGGTACGTGCCCTCTCTCTTTTTTTTTCCCTCCCGCGACATGCCCGTACATGTAATTAACGGACAAATATCGGTAATAATTCCAGGATGAGTGCGGTTCAACGGTGCAGTCGGAGGAACGGAGAAGAAGAATGGACTAGCAATGATTATCCTGGACGAGCAACCCACGTGGTAGGAAGGAGACGTGGGGTTCCCTTTGAGGGGCAGCAGTCGAGGCATCTTGTTCGGGGGCGGACTTCCGCTTCCGCTGCTGGGACTGCTCGTGGTGATGGTCACGCCGATTTTCCCGGACTCCTTGCTGAGGACCTCGGCCTTCCGCTTGGTGCCGGCGGGCTCTCTTCTGGCCGGTAGCGGAATGTCCACGCTGCTGTTGGAGCTGTCCGAGTCGACGCTGAATGCCGACGCGGAGAGGTCCGGCGGGGTGGGGGACTCGTGTCCGTCCAAGGAACTGGGAAGGGTGTCCTCGTCCTGGGCGGCGGGGTTAAGCCTAGGCGCGGACGTGCTGCCCGTCGTCGACTCGTCCTGGCTGTCCTCCCCGACCCTCTCGTCGCCGCCTGGCTCCTCCTCGACAACCAGATTTGCTAGGACCTGTTCCTGGAAATTATGGAACGAATGCACATCTCCATCGACCGCAGGGTGAAGATCGTCCCCCTCGTCATCGTTTCCTGGGGGTGCTCGTGACTTCACCGCCCCCTCGAGTCGCGACCGGGGGTTATCGAGGTGCGATCAAGGGATAATCATGCAATCCGTTTATAGGAACCATTCCGGACAGTCGCAACGGGTCATCGACAAGGGTCAAGATGGAAACCTACACTGTATCGAGTGTCCCTTCGCCTTGGCCTCCTCGTCGACACATCTCCTCCCTTCTGGCTCTCCTCGTACAGCTCGATCAACCTCACGTCCAAAATGTTCTCTTCGGGCTCCCACGTGTTGTATCTGGAAAAGAAACGAGACCACGATGCACTCCCTTCCGTCCGATCGAGGCTGCGATAAGGGCTGGTTACGTCTCCGAGACGTCGACCGATCGCGAAATTCCGGCGTAGCGACGACTATTCAAAATTCGGGGACATTTTTGCCAACGAGGGGCAGAGACCGACAACGACGCAAAGCCACTCACTTTTTGCTCCAACCCTTCCATTTGACGAAGTACTCCACCTTGCCCTGCAACAGACAAAAGGAAGAGAGTCGTTAACCCCGAAGAGCATCCGATTCTCGTTAAGGAATGCCCGAGGAAAGTCTTACTTTATCAGTGGGAGGTTTCGGGTAAAGAACGGTCGGGAAAGCGAACGACCATAATGCGCTCGGACGGGCTTTCGCCGGTATTGTTTGTATGAATAAAATCAATGCCAACGAGGGGGGTTTCAATTTAGACCGAGCCTCGGTGCCATAAAATCCGGCCCATTTTCTTTCCAGATCGGCGGCGTGCGGTCTGCCAAGGTGCAGTCCGCTCGTCAGAGAGCCGCTTTAACGGGCCGATTCGTCAAAAGGCGGTTTATTGGCCGGCAATAACCGGCAATACCCGGCAATACCCGGCAATACCCGGCAAAATGCGAAACCGAGACCGAGGGACAGTTGGTAGGCGCTCCCTTTAAGAGCCGTCCCTCGAGAGACCCTCCACGGTTTGGCTCGTAATCGTTTCAAATCCTTTACTCGTAAGTCAATAAAAATGACGAAAACCGAAGAATGGCGGCCGGAAATCCCGAAAGAGGTTACCCTCGTCCGTCCTAATCATCGTCGGACGGTCAATTCCATCGAACGACGTTTAATCCGGAGAAAGCCAGGTTCGGAGTAACGCGACAACGTAAAACGCAACGGTGGATTTCTCGTCGATGGCGAACGCGTTAATGGAGTGCAGGCATCGTTTCGTCAAGGGACCTTTGTCGGTCGCGTGCATCCTAACACCGACTGGATTTGAGGACCGAAACGACCGTTGGCTCTGCAAAAACGTTACGGAAAGAGGCCGGGAGATCGACCGCGATCGCGAGACCAGGAATGTCCCATCTTCGGGAGTAATCGACCGTCGAAGATCCCGGACTCCGAAACGGACCGAGTCATCGAGATCGTTCTCTTTAAAAATTAGGAACGGATGGCTCCCAGGATCTCGTTCTTTAAGGGCGCTTAAGGAAAAGGGGTAACCTCGTTGACAACCTCTTTGCGCCCTCTGGTTCCATCGCGCGGAAGGTCCGCAGCGTCCGGGATCGCGTCGGCGAGTGACCGCGGCGCTTGGCCGGCGAGTCGTCGAATCTCCGGTCGTCGTCCCACGGTCGATAAAACGGGCGGCGTTGAGGCGCGGCGGGTCCGCGCTCGCCCCGCGATTGGTCGGTCGGCCGCCGGCGAAAACCCCGACGACCAACTGGCGGCCGAGAGCGCGCGCCCGGCGCGGCCCGCGACAGTTGGAAAACGGTGACGTAACGCGCTGACGCGCGCGGACCGCGCCGCGTCGCGGCAGCTGGGAAAGCTCGTCGCCGCGGCGCCGACGTTGCCAGATCCTCGCCCCCGCGAGACACCGCGACGCGAAGGAGAGACGAGGTGCGCAACCGCGCGGCCTTTTTGACGTACCGGTCACGGTACGCCTCCAAAACGTCCTCGCTGCGTGCGAATGTATTTCAAGCCAAATACGAGAATAAAGTTAAAGGAATTAACGGAACAAGGAGGTAAAGAAGGCACGTTTCTTTTTCTCGTTGCCTCGAGACGGCGCGGATTTCCGCGTTATCGCGACGAGGCGCGAATACGGCGCGATGGCCGACTCTCCTGGATAACGTTCAAGGGACGCCACGTCTCGCGCGGTAATTGCGAGAAAAAATAAAAAAAGTAAATGATCGATACGGTAGTCAAAGGCTCCGACTTTACGGCCGCTCCACATGGCGAGGCCGGAGTGCGTCGCGCGGAGCAACGGCAAAAGACGAAAGCACGTGTTTACGTTTCAATTACATCCGCGCGAGCAAACGAAGCGGCCGCCCGGAGTCTCGCGCGGAGATTCCAATGAAAACGCGTGCTTTCACTTCCCCTTATCGTTCCCCCGGCGATAAAATCGGACGAGCCGGGTTAAGTGAAAAGGCCGTTGTCCCGAGGTTCCCCGTTTCCAGGTAAAGGCGGCGCGCCTCGATTCGGCCAGAAATCGACTTCCAAAACGTTGCACGTCGACCACCGAGGAAAAGCGGGCCGAACAATTGGATCTCAAAGCCCTTTTCCCGACGCGCTCAACGGCACGAACCCGTCAATTAGATGAGCAAAAATTCACCCCGACGTCCCGCCCTCGGCATCGCCTTGGGGAAGCAACAAGAAGGAACAACCCTCGCACAAATCCATCCAAGAGGCTCGGGTAGACCCTTCGGCCCGTCTTGCCTCTACCGTTACCGGAGGTAGAGGGGCTCGGTCCCGCGATTTTCCCGGAAAATTCTGGAAGCCTCCGCGAGTTCGTTCCAAGTTGTTCGCCTCCCAAGGGAGTTTCCCCGGTCGGCGTCGCGAGGAGCCCGAAGGGACGTGGCGCCGACGCAGAGCCGCGGTAAATCCGGCCGGTGGCGGCGCGCCGCGGCGCCTCGGCCAACTACTTACCCGCTTCTCTCTCTTCTTGGTTATCCGCTCGGCGGCGTAGACCCTGTCGCCGAGGTCCATGTCGGCGGCGGGCGGCCGCTGCGGGTCTCGGTGGCCTCCTGGCGAGAGGGGATCGCTCGGGGATGCGCGTCAAAGGAGCTCGCCGGGGAACCGAGCACCGATCGGCATGGCAGCCGGCGCGGCCCGACTACGAGGCGCGACGGAGGCGCGGCGGAGACCCGTCGTTGTCGAGGGTGGGACGTGTCCCGCGGGCGGCCGGCAGCATGGCCGATGTTTTCGCGACGAGGTCGGCGTCCGCCGGGAGTCGGGGCGCGGGTCTATTTCAGCGTAGAGGCCGGCCGGCCGATGTTTTCGGGTCGGCCAGTAGTTCGACCGGCGAGCGCAAGCGGCGCTGCGGCAGCGACGGCCTCGCACGTCCCATCGGTGAGAATTTCCCGCGGCACTGGTGCGCGTCCGCGGTCGTCCGCGGTCGTCCGGGGGTCCCGGGGCCCGGTCGCCCTCGTCCGGGTGGAAGTCCCGGTCCGTCGGTCGGCGCTGCTCGGGCAGGACCGGTGACCCGCGTCCGCGCGACTACCTTCGGCCGAGATCGGTGTCGCCGTGACGTCAGCGATTCCCCCTCGCGTAAACACCAAACATGGCCGTCGCGAGAGAGCGGATGTACGCCGCTCGAGCGGAGTGCGTCCGCGCGGCAGGTCGATAAAGCAGGGCCCTGCGCGGCTCGCGGAGGAGCCGCCGCGACGGCGGGTCCTCGTCGACCGGCGACGGCGGTCCGGAATCGGCGCGGGGACGACGCTCGGACGTTTCAACGGAGCGCGGAGGTTAACGGCGCGGCGTCGTGGCGTCGTCTAGCACATTCCGCGGACGGCGGCGGACTAGCGGCTCGGTCTGCCGAACTCCCCTCGCGAGCCGCCGAGTGGACTCGCCCGACCCGTTCGAGGTTGCGCCCGGGGTGGGGGCACGCCAGGGGAAGGAGCGGGAGCGAGAGAGACCGACGACGCGCCGCCGGCGCCCCGAGAGAGAGAGACTCGCCGGACCACCCCGAGCCCCGCGAGAGCCGATGCGGCGTTGCCGGCTCGCCGCCGACGGTCGACCCCGAACGTCGCGCGGCCGCTTCGCCCCAAGGGTCCGCGAGGACCCGGCGCTCCCCGTGCCGAGGGCGCGGAGTCCGGGTCGCGATCTGGCAACGCCGGAGGCGACGTCTCCGTCACCCCGACACCCGAGACACGGCGATACCGCGACGGCACTCCGAGGACGCGCGGAGGACGCGGGGCACGACACTCCGGAATACTCGACCGCCACTTCCGGCGCGCACGTACCGCGACGACCGACTCGGGGACGGAAGGGGGGAGAGACAGAGAGAGAGAGAACGGCCACTCGACGAACCTCGGGAGGTGCGCGCGTGCAGCCTCGACGGATCCCGAAACGAGAGTGTCCTCCGTCCCGACGAGGCGACCGCTCTTCCGTCCTTTGGCATAAATACAGGAATAAAAAAGCCGAGCTCGCGCGCCGATTGGCCGGCGCCGTCGGCCGAGTCCGCGCCGGCGGGGGTGCCGGCCAATCGGCGCGCGGCCCTGCCCACGCCGGGTTCCCTCGCGCGCCGAGGGGCGGCGCCTCCCGCCGACCGGCGTGCCCTCTACCCCCACCAAGGTCGCCGAATAGCGCAGCGCTCTCGCAGCGCGCGCGGACGCCGACGTCGCGACGCGCCCCGACGAGCCGGGGCGAGGGGCACCGACCCGGAGGGGGCTCGAGGTTTCCCCTCTTCGTATCGAAATATCCCGGCCTGGCCGTACAGCGATGCCGTTTCTACCACGCTCGACCGCAACCGCCGGCTCTCGTTTCTCCGCTCTTTCTCTCGCGCGACCGAGCTCGCCGGCGCGCGCGCACCCGCTCCCTCCCTCCCTCCCTCCCTAGTCCCCGATCCCGACGCCGCTCTCCCGCCCCTCCGCGTACGTCGCCGTGGCGTTACGAGTGCCCGTGCCCTCCGCGTGTCGCTTCCCGCTCTCTCCCTCCCTTCCCCTGTCCGTCGCCCGCGCTCGCTCTCTCTCCCGCCTCTCTCCCGCCTCTCTAGGAACCGCGATCAATCGTTACGCAAAACCTCGCTCCCCCTTCCTCCTCCTCCTCCTCCTCCTCCTCCACGGTGTATCCATTGCCCATGGTGGATCATCGGAGAACCACGCTTCCGACCGCGACCCCCGCGTCGCCCGACGGGCAAAAATCGTTCCATCGAGGGATTTCGGGGGAGGGGGGAACATTCGGGGACTCGGATGAACCTAGGGAAACTCTTCCGGAAACGTCCCGAGCCGGTCAGCCGTGGATTCTTCAGCTCCGGAATACTCGGATCTCATGACGCGCCCCGAAGAGGAACTCGGAGGAGGAAAGAAATCTTCTCGATGTTTTGATTAGATCGATTCGGAGAAACTCTCGCAGGGAGAGGAGACGGAATTTCAAACGGTTGTTTACACTTTTCCGTCGAAACGTAGGGCCGGGAGCGTCGATCACCTCGCGTCAATCGGGCATTCCAGGGGCACGCGGTCGGACGAAAGGAGTCCGGGCTGACTCGTTACGATTTTCGCGATTCCGCGACGCTGTCTCGATCTTCCGACAAATGGAAACGCGGATCGTGGGTCGGTTCCAATCGCGGCGCAAAACCGGCAAGACGCGAGAAAAAGGAGCAAAGGATCCGTCCCGAGCGAGGACGCGGCCGCAGCCTGTTCGAAGAGAGGAACTTCGTCCCGTTTTCTAGAAAACCGGAGGAGAAATTCCGCCGACGATCGCCTCGAGGAGAAACAACGCCCGAAGACGCAAGACCGTCAGAAACGGGAGGAACCGGGAGAGGACCTGGAAAAATGCGGCATCCCGAACAACGGATTGAAGATCGAGTAAGTAGGTGACCGACGATAGGTTAGGACGTCCTAACGGGACGGGGGTCGCGTTCGCGTAGAGCTCGACCTGGCACGCGGAACGATCGCTCGACCCTCGGGTAACCTAACCTCAAAGAACATCGTTTTACCCTGCGACTACTCTTTTTTCGTAAACCACGGTTTACGCAAATGTGCTCGGGGAACGGAACTCCTCTGCGAGGAGTTTTGAACGTAATTGCGCCGGGGAGAGGAGAAAGAGTAAAGCTTCGTTTTCCCTTGCCGCGTTGCTCGAAATTCTTCCGGCCCGTTTTCAAACGATCCGAGGACTCTGCCGCGCGAAACGCGGCAAGGGCGACGCGAGGGCGACGCGAGGGCAAAAGGCGCGAGTAACCTCGACCTGACTCGCCGGGAACGAGCGCGGCTCCGTCAGCGAAAAAAGCAGGCCGCGCCGAGCCGTTACGCAACCATCGAACGAAGCGAGCACGGATGGCGCGCCGACCCGCTTCCTTTGTCCGCGCGACCTCGCCGAGGACGCGGAGACCGGCACTCCGACCTGACGGAAAGCCTCCGCGGTCGCGCGCGTCCTCGGAGCTCGCCAGCCGCCGATTATCGGATCCGGAGGAGCTGGACCGGGCTCGGCGGAGCTCTTAAAATAGCTCCTGTATCGGCCGGTTTGGCATCCGAATCGTCACCGACCGGCTCTCTCGGCCCCGAGGAGAAGACCGGATTTGGAAGTCGAGGCGGAAAGTCCGGGTTCGCGGAGAACGCGTCGAGAGGTCGGACGATTAATTGGACCGGGGTCCAGGGCGTCGCCGAGCGGCCGGCGAGACGATCTCCTCTCCCGAGGAACCCCGGGAGACTCGAAATCGAGGCGCGATCCCTTTGGAGAAGACCTTTCCCGACGATCGAGCGATCGAGCGAACGAGCGATTCAAAATGGCGGCGAACGTTCTAAATGGCTGCCGTCGCGGGATCGGGCCAAATTGGAGTCCCGCGGAACTCCAGGCCCTCGTCGTCTCGTCCACTCGCGGATTCCGCGGGCCGCGAGTCGCGAGTTTCCAGGACTTCCGATTGCCTCGGATAATCGATGAGATGACGATTCCGTTGCCTGTCCTCGATAAAGTACTCCGCTTCCGTGCAGGAAGACGCGCGAACCTCGGAACGGAAGGAACTTCGTCGAGAGATTCGATATTCCACGTTGGATATTGCTTGTAAAACGTGGAGTATAAAATTTAACGACGATCGAGTGGACGGGCGAAATGCCCCCCGAGGATATCCACCCGTCGATAGGAATATGCCTTTTGCCGATAAGTAGGTAGACGCGAAAGGGGCGCCGAGGATCTCGGAGCGCGGTGCTCGAATCTAAGCCGCACTTCGCCGCCAAAATGGGCTATTTTTTATCTCGGGAACCGAAAGAGATATCGAGGCGAAACCTTCTCCTGCCGAAAGCAGACCTTTTGTCATGCCAGTTGGATTTTTTTGACCCTTTTGGCTGCACCCGATTCCGAGTATTCGGCGTTCGAAGGTTGCTCGCTCCCGCGACCTCCGAGGCGAATTTTAGATTTAAAAAAGGCGCTTCGCCGCCGATTTCCCGGCGTGCCTTGCGAACAAAAATGGCGACCATCGCGTCGCGGCTCGGAGCTTCTCGAAGAAGACATCCCTCGCTCGTCGCTCGCAGCTGGACGTCCTCGATTTGTTTTCGGGCGCCTTAGGTCTATTCTTGCGCGATTTCTCTCGACCGGGTTGCGAAAGAGGAGGCTTTTCGACATTTTTACGCCACGCTGGTCCTGTTTTGCCTTCCGGTTTCGGTCGGATGGAAGGGAACCGTTATGCGACTTCGCTTTCTCCGACTCGCAAATTATCTTTTTCGTGGCCGCGAAGCCTGCCCGTAGAAATGGTCGCTCCGATACCGTGGAAAGGGTCCTGACTTTTTCCGTTTCACTCCCCGCGAGTTGGGAAGAAAACTTCCAGACGTCTCGAAGGAGCGGCCGGTCGCGTCCATTTTCCTCGCCAATCGTTCGGTTCGATTTTTGCGAGATCGCGCCTGGAACGAACGAGCGATCCGCGATAGGGGAGGAACCCCGGAATTCGGAGGATCTCTCCTCGGCCCTCCCGGACGAGGTCTTCCGCTCGGCAGAAAATTCCCCAGGGAGATCCCCCCATTTCTAGGGTTTCCGCATATTCCCCGGATTCGGGGGTTCCGAGGGGGGAGCGAGGCGCGTTCAATTCGACGGGAAACCCGACCGGTTTCACCGCACGGCCCCTCCGCTAATCGCCATTGATCGCGGACACCCGCGACAGGACTCGATCGCGCCGACGTCGTACGGTCGAGAGTCGCTCCTACGCCTCCCTTCGGATATCGACCAAAGTCGCGCGCCCCTCCCTCGGTCTCCCCCGAAGAACGCGGAACGAGCGGGGACGGAAAATCGCGACTTGGCCCCCGAGAACCCCCGCAGAAAAATCACGACTCGACGGAAAAACGCTTTTTATAGCGTCGACTCGTCCAATATGCGGTTTACTAATTTTCTCATTGAAAAAAAAAAAAACGACAAATCCCCTCGGCTGCCCCGCGATAAAGTCGCGGGGCAGCCGTCTCCATTGGATAACGACGCGTTCGCCCGCCGCGGTTTATCAGCCAAATTCCTTGTATCCTATCCTCGTCGATCGGGGATTAACGCGGTCAATCGCCCACTTTTACTCGGTTGGTCAAATTGGGCGTCGAGGATTTCCATGCGGAACGAGAGAGGGACGTCCGCAGGTAGACCCTGAGCCCTCTCACCCGGGGACGAGGTTCCCTCGCAAAAGATGAGCTATATTTGCCGGACACCCGGTACGGCCCCGAGGCTGTCGGGCCCTGCCGGGTCCTACCATTTTGTCCAGAGCAGGTCCCAGCCTTCCTCGGAACCGGCCCTGCGTCCCTCGCCGCTGCCCCGCTCGCCTCTCGTCGTTCTCCGCCGAGTTTGCGATCCTCCGCGGACTCGTTTAGAAAATTCTCCGAGAGACCCTTCCCCTCCCCCCGCAAGATGGCCCCTCGCTCGGATTTCCCTCGTCCGTTTCGAAAAATTTCCCTACCCGTCTCTCTATTTTTTTTTTCTGCGGGTCGTTTTTCCTGAAAATGTCTCTCGTACCGCTGCTCGATCTTTCAACGAATCGATAGTTAACAGGTTCGTGATCGCAAATACCGTTCGCGGTTACTTTTGCTTTTCGTCGTTCGAGTCTCCCGGAACGCCAGCCCTGATACGGCTGCGATGTTTTGCGGCGATAAGAGGACTTTGGCCGGTGCCTCGTATCTTTTTCCCGTGACTCTCTCCGCTTGACAATGTATCTTTCCGTCGAGTCGAAACCGCGAGGCGACTCGAGCTCTCGCGAGGACTTCTATCTTCGACCGGGATAACGGCAACGATTGTTCTCGAATTAGCCAATTATGAAACGAGGCTCCCTCTTTAGCATGGGGTTGGAGCGATTTCACATGTCCGGGAATTTTACGTGGTTCTATTCCGAGGTTAGAGAAGCGCGAGGCGTTTTTGAGGCGTAGCGTCCGATCGGGCGGTTTTCCTTGGCGGAAAATCGGACACGGAAGTAGGCGGAAGTTCAGGGGGTCGCGTTAATCGTCTCGTTAATTATTTCCAATGTTTAACCCCGAAAACTCGGCCTCGACGCCGCCGCGCCGCGACCTCCGAGGCGCGGCATGGCCGTTCCAGAAATCGTTCGTAACTCCCTTGTTTCCGCCGCTACCGGGATGAAAATTTTAATCCCGGACTGCGAAACCATGCGGAATCGGGCGCCGTTCGAATCGCGGCTCTATCCCTGCCGGTTGCCGAGTTATAAAATGCGGTTAAATGCCTGCGCGGCGCGGCGTAGAATCGAGGACCGTTCCGCGCAGCCGGCCGACTCCGCCGGAGCCAATGGAACTTTCCGTTCCTCCTGGTGTCGGCACCGCGGGAGAAAGGTGGCGTTTTCCCCGCCGCATTCCTCGCGAATTTTTGGGACTTCGCCCTTTCTTTCGGAAGTCGAGGTCTGGAGGAACGCGGAAAAATCGGGCTCGGCGCGGGGTATGGATTTTTGCCGAAGACCGAGTACCTCCTACGCGTTCCCGATACTTCTCGCTGGAAACGTATGTACGCGGATATACGCGCGCGTCTATGCATACCTATATACATATGCGGGTATGTACGGTTCGGAGTTCAAGACTGGTCTTACTCCCCTAATACCACCCGTTCCCGTATCTGTACGGGGATACTCCTATCGGACCGTTCCCACCCCCCGAGGGACCTTCCCGAACGGAGAACGAGCCTGGACGAGGACTCGAAAATTCCGTCATCTCGAGCGTCCCGAGATCACGGGAACGATCTCGATTCGCTCGTCCGGGAAAGTCCACCCGCGACGCCATATCGATTTTTCCCGTTTCCCCTGGACGAGGGAAAGTCGGTACTATAACGACGAAGAGTACGTCGACGCCGGGGACGAACAGGTGCCTCGGAGACGAGGCGGTCGAGCGGGCGTCGATTCGTAAGATATCGGTTGGTCCGCGGTGCGCGATCCTCCGTCTCCCCGGGAGGAGGGAGAGAAGTCCGCGTTCCAATCTTGGGGGATAGGACCGATCCCGCGGAAGCAGCCTCCGGAACGGCTCTTGCTCTCCTGATCCCAGGGCATTCGGCGTCCGGTACCGAGGGTCTCCAGGGTGCCTTCCCCTAGGAGGGCCGGACTCGGCCATTTTCGCCGGCGACCCCCGGGGGGCTTCCGGTGGAAAGTTTCGGTTCTCCCCGAAGCTCTCGCCCTGACGCCGGCAACGTTGAACGGCGAAGTCGCAGCCTCTTGCTCCCCTAGTACCCGGGCCCCGCGGTCCCGCGGCGTCCGGGGAGTTCCGGCCGTCCCGACCGCGTCGGAGCGCGGCCGGGCCGCTTCTGCCCCCGCGTCGCCATGGCAACACCCCTCCGCCCCCCGCGGCGTTGCCACCCCCGCGAGGCCGCGCCGGTATCGATCCGACGCCCTCGGCGCCCTCGGCGCCCTCGGCGCCCT